ACACCCCGGCCCCCCGGCGAGACCCGCGATGAAATCCCTCCCACTTTTACCGGGACGCGCCCCCTCGGCAAAACTCCTTACAGCCCGGGGTTGGCCACTCTTCACACTAAACACGGGCAGGTGGTCTGCAAAAAGTTAAACACGGAGTGACCATGACCCAGCAACCCCGGTCCTAGGTGGGATCCGCAAGAGAAAGGAAAGCAGACGTTGGAACAAATGCCCGGACGTGCGCAGCCACAGCCGCACCGCTAACACCGCCGAAGTGGAAACAGCCCAGTGTCCATCCAAGGACCAGAGGGTGAACACAATGTGTCCATTCACCGGAAGGAGTGTTGCTCAGCCATAAGGAGGAATGGACGCTGGCACACCCCACGGAGCGGGTGGCCCTCGAAAACATCAGGCTGAGGGGCAGAAGCCAGACACAAAGGCCTCCCCAGGGCCCAGGGGCCACGCTGCCACACCAGTGGGTCTGGAAGGCGGGGCCCTCAGCTCTCCTGGAATCTGCCTGGCGAGCTCTGAGGCTCGATCAGAACCCATGCCCTTTGCTTCTTTTGGATCCTCCCTTTTGGAAGAGGAATGTCTGTCCGATGCCTGTGCCAGCTCGTGTCTGAGTCACTGCTGGAGAAGCAGCTCACCTTAACCTCACCCGGCTCTCACTTAGATGACATTTAAATGAGACTTTGGACTTGATGCTGAAATGGCTTCAGGCTTTGGGGGCTATTGGGATGGAGTGAAATGCATTTTGCGTGGGAGAAGGACATGAATTTGCGGGATGGACCAGAGGGTGGATTGCTATGGGCTGAATCGTGTCCCCTCAAAATTCATATGCTGAAGCCCTAACTCTCAACGGGACTGTATTTGGAGAAAGGGCCTTTAAAGAGGTGATTAAGGTTAAATGAGGTCATGAGGTCATAATACTATAGGACTGTGTCCTTTTAAGAGGAGGAAGAGCCCTGGCCGGGTGGCTCAGTTGTTTGGAGTGTCGTCCCGTACACCAGATGGTTGCAGGTTCGATCCTCGGTCAGGATGTGTGTGAGAGGCAACCAATCGATGTTTCTCTCTCACATAGATGGCTGTTTTTCTCTCTCTCTCCCTTCCTCTCTCTCTAAAAATCAATAAAAAATCATATCTTCAGGTAAGATTTAAAATATAAAAGAAGAGGAAGAGACACCAGGAATACATGTGCACAGGGGAAAGCCATGTGAGGACACAGTGAGAAAGTGGCTGCCTGCAAGTCAAGGAGAGAGGCCTCACCAGGACCCAGTCCTGCCAGCACCTGATCTTGGATTTGCGGCCTCCAGAACTGTGAGAAAATAAACTTCTGTTTGTTGAAGCCACTCAGCTGTGCAAACGTCCTTCTTTCTTTTTAAGGTTGAATAGTAAATAAATGAATAATATATAAATATATGAATAATACAATGAGCCCTGGATGGTTTGGCTCAGCGCATAGAGCATCGGCCTGTGGACTAAAGGGTCCAGGTTCGATTCCATTCAAGGGCATGTACCTCAGTTGCCGGCTTGATTCCTGGCCCTGGTCAGGGCTTGTGAGGGAGGCAACCAATCAAGTGTCTCTGTCACTCTGATGGTTCCCTCTGTCTCTCCCCTCCCCTGCACTCTCGCTAAAAAATCAATGGGAAAATATCCTTAGGTGAGGATTAACAACAACAAAATAATGATACAATGAAAAGCAACTCCACTATATGAATAGACCACATTTGGTTTATCCATAAGCCTGTTAACAGACATCTGACTTCTTTCCACTTTCTGGCTATTGTGAAGAGGGCTGTTATGCACATCTGGGTGCACGTTTTTGCGTGGATGTTTTTGTTTCTCTTGGATCTATACCTAGGAGTGGATTTGCTGGATCATTTGGTAACTAACTCTGAGTAACTGTTTGAGGAGCTGCCAGACTGCTGTTCCCAATGGCTGTACCCTCAGAACTGCTTCCTTTCAGCTCAGTTCTCACTGCCCCTTCTCTGCTGCCCTCCGCCACATCCAGGGCCCTTCCCGAGTGCCCCACCTGGTGTCTTCACAGACATCTACACATGGGCGCGACCCAGGTAGGATTTTCCTCCACCCACTTCCTGCCAGACTGTCAGGGGTCAGAGGCCAGAGGTGAGGAGCCAGCTCTGACAACCTTTGGTGTCCCTGGGACCTGGCACCAGACCCAGGGGATGTCTGTCCTCTGTGGGCACGCCTGCCTGACATGCCCTGAGCTGGACTCCAGCCTGGCCTGGTTTTGATTAATCCCCCAACAGAAGAACAAACTCCCTGGCCTGGGGTAAGTCTTTTAAGTTAGGGTCCTAATAACACTGTTTCCACCACTGTCAGCCCTCGGAAGACCCCAGGGCTCCACATGGGCCGTGTGTGTCAGACCCTAACCCCCCCACCCCCGGCGCTCTGACGAACGCTTTCTCAAACAATCAATAAAAATTAAAACACAGACACACGTTCTAGGAAACTTTAGAGCGGCCGAAAGGGTGTGTCTTCACAGAGATCCCTTTCTATAAGGAAGCTACTGGTCCTCTTATGTTTAGGGGGCGGGGCTTCCGGGTGGCTGGTGTGGAGGGAGAGGGGGTACCCCAGCCCAGCTGGGCACTGACCTGGATTTCCCGGGCATGGTAGAGGATAACCAGACCCAGCAGGATGACTGTGGAGAGGCTGATGAGGCATTTGAGTGCAAATGAGTACAGGGACTCCTGGGCAGAGAGAGAGCAGAGAGCAGGACGATGCTGAGGGGGCGGGGCAGCCCTCTGACCCTCATACCTGGGCACTTCACCCGGAAGGTGACACTCCTGCCCTTACTCTTAGGCCTGGGCTTAGAGTAAGATGGGTCAGTGCTTTACAGTTTGTAAGGCCTGGCTTCATGTGGGTATAGGACTTCCGAATGTGTAAGGCCTGGCCTCCTGTAGGCTCAATACGTCACGGGTTATGAGGCCTAGCCTCATACGGACATAGCACTTCAGAGTTTATCAGGCCTGTTCTCGCACAGGCACAGCATGTCACAGTTTACAGGCAGACAGCCTGATCTCTCTCTGTCCTCACACACCCGCAGGCAGCACTAAGGGGCCCACAGCCAGGCTCATAAACTGGCCCCAACTGCTGGGGGGCGGGGGGACGCTCTTTCCCTGCTCTCTACCCAGGCCTTGTCTGGAGCTCCCCCAGCCCAGGTGTACCCTGGGGGACATCCCCTACCCCACCTTGAGCCAGGGTATGGCCCTTGGTGCAAGCGGGGGAATGGACGGGAGCCTCCGCCCCCATCTGCGGTCTCCCTGCCACCCAGGAAGTGGGCACAGCAGGATCCCCAGGATCCCCCCATCTCCCATCTCCAGGGTTCCCTGTATCCCCCATCCTCCTCTCCTGGGGCCGATGTGCCCTGATTCCATTCCCCAGGGATGACAGGGAGCCAGGTGTGCCAGGCAGGGCCTCTGTGGGGTGCTGGGTAGGGTTTCCCTGAGGTGCCAGGGGCAAGGGCCATGCCTACCTTCGTGTAGACCCCCCAGGACAGCTCCGTTTCTGTCACCATGACAACGATGCCAAACATGCCAAAGATGAGGGCGTAGTCACTAAGGCGCTTCCGCTTCTCGAAGAGCACCCGCCGGTGGCCCAGGCGGTGGCCCACGTTGGGGGGCCTCTTGGAGCCCCTCTGCCCAACCACCTCATCCTCCTCATCGTCTTCCTCCTCCTCCTGGTCCTGGGGATGCCCTCGGGGGCTGCCGGGTGAGAGCCCGCCCAGCTCGTTCTTGGCCACCACGACTTGGAGGCCTGAACTATGTGGGGGCTGCAGGGGGCAGCTGGCCTCGGCGTCCGGAGGGTCTCGGGTCAGGGCCCCCAGTCCGCCTCCCAGCGGCCGCCCCCCACAACCATTGTGGCTGTGGTTGTTCATGACTATGTGGGTGCCGGGCTTGGACTCACTGCAGGCTGCCTGGGGCCCGGCATGGCTCAGCAGCTGGGCTCCCACGCGGACCTGCAGGGGCATGAGGGACATGGTCATGCCAGCTGATCAGAGGGCCGGGACCACTGCTGCCACTCCACTCTGAGACCTGGGAGGCCATGAACTCAGAGCAGCTGACACATGGGTTTGCCTTTCTGGAAACATCCAAGTCAACCTATTTCCCTCCCCTGCTAGAACCCTCAAACCCGCTCGTGGCTCCCCAGTGTCATTGCGTAAAAACCAAACTCCCCATCGTGGCCAGGAGGCCCTCTGGGGTCCGAGTTCCACATCACTCACCCTTCTCAGTCTCCCCAGAATCACTCTCTTCCAGAAACACTGGCCTCCCTCTCACCTATCCCAACCAGCTTGGCCCTGCCTCAGGCCTTTACATGTGCTGTGCCCTCCGCCTGGAAAACCCTCTATCTGACCTTTGCCCACTGACTTTCTGGGTCTCCAAGTACCTCGACAATGCCTAGCACACAGCCAATTCCCAGGAAACACTTCTGTATGCCCTGGGGTTGAGCTGGCAGTTTTCCTGGGAGGAGCAGCGGTCATGCAGGGGCACAGTCGGGAGGTGATTCCAACCGGGGCTAGTCCCACTGACCTTCAGGCTCTTGGACAATTTAACGTCACTTTGCTGAGTCCCCAGTTCCTCCCCTCAAGCTGTTCCAAGGCCTTAACACATGTGGGCAGGTACAGGATATGGTAGGGTAACATTCGGGACTGAGGCTGGGGCTAGATAGAGACCCCCAGCTCCCTCCTGCCTGGGTGGAGGGAGGTCAGTGGTCTCCAAACAAATTCCAGGACCAACATGGCGACCTGGGACTTAACTCGAAGACCCCAGAATTGAATCTATAGGGCCTGTGGGACATGCTCAGCCTGGCCCTGTGACCCTGGGCCAGCCTCAGTTTCCCCGCCAGGCTGAGGACAGTTGATTGTCCAACATCCTCAGATTCGGCTGCGGCATAGGGCAGTATTGTGGGTGTCATGTGCAACAGCAGGGACCTCGACGATCCTGTCTGCTGGGTTCTGACTTGGCAGACCCACCCCAGCCGACTCTCTAAACCTTGCACGCTCCCTGCTGCCACCCCGTCAATGTTTCTTAACCATCTGCACAGTTTATATGGGCTGGTCTCCTGCAGGCCCAGCGCTTCACAGTGTATAAGGCTGTTCCCTACCCCGGACATTCCCCACCCCTGGTCTATTACATACTAGTCTCTGTATTTCACACAAATTTTCTCTTAAATCTTCGAAATATCCCCAAGAAGGGGGTCCTGGGATTTGGCCAGTTTTATAGATGGGGAAACTGAGGCACTATGCTGTGATGGGACTATCTCCCTAAGGGCAGATTCTGGACCACGCTGCCTGGTTGAAATTCTCCCAACAAGCCTGGCAGCCGTGTGCCAAGTGTGGTCCCCTTTGAAAAGGCTAAGCCAGCATGCACTGGGGGACTGCGAGAGGGACTGTGGGCACAGACAGGACATCTCCCGGGCCCTGAAACCATGCTCCGGGGGTGACAGGTGCAGAAACTGTCATGTCAGGACACGCCAAGATAAGCTATGCTGCTGGGCAGGGCACAGGCGACCTTCGCCAGAGCCCAAGCATCACAGGACCACTGTGTCCTTGTCCGGTGCCCCCAGACTGGGTATGTCCTGCTCACTGTGTGTCCCCAGATGCTGGTACCAGCACACAGAAGTGCAAGAAACATTCCTTCCACGGTGAGTGACCTCATGGGTCTTAGAACATGTTCCTCCCTCACCACTGCCACCCATCACATCAACCGGGCTGTGGCCACCTGTGGCCGGACACGCCGCAATTTATAAGGCCTGGCCTCTCACGTGGCCCGATATATCACCGTTTATAAGCCGGGCCTTCTGCAAGCTTTGCACTTCATAGTTCATAAGGCTGACCTTGGCCCTGATCTCTCTGTGTGTGTCTCACAAACACTGGGGTGCTACGCTCCTCCTGCCTGCCACCCTAGGGGTTTTTGGCTGCCAGGCGGGTCTGGGAGCTTGTCAGCACAGCAGCCCAGACCCTGCCCTTGCCTAGGAGAATAGGAAACCCCAGGCATCCCTCTCACCATCCTTCCTGAAAGTGCAAATCCTTGCTGGGGGTTCTGGGGGCACAGGCAGGAGAGGTGGGTGGCCTGGCAGACAGGACCAGGAGGGGGTGGGGGCCCACAGACGACCTTCGGAAATGCACCAATGAAGATGCAATTTGGGGATGTGACTCAGCCACCCAATACACAGGCCAAATCCAGCCGTTAGTCGGCCATGCTGCTCGTGGCCTGACAGCTGAGTCCTAAGGTGCCCCAGGCAGCGTGAGAGTGGGGGAATGGGCTTCCATGCGAGCAGAGGGTGGAGGCATCCCATCATGTTAACATGTCCCTGGTGCCTACTGCGGGCTGAGCCCTTTATCAGAATGATCACATTTAATCTCCATCGCCACTCAGCAAGGCAGGTGGTATCCCTGACCCCATTTTATAGACAGGAGACAAGGCTCAGAGAGTTTCAGTACCTTGCCCAAGGTCACACAGCCAGGAAGGGCAGGAACTAAGTCAGTGCCAACTGGGGGGAGGGAGGGTGGTGGGTGGCAAGATCTGCCTGACTCCCTCTTGATGAGCTACCATCTGGAGAGGGAGCCAGCCCGGCCCTATCCTTGAGGGCTCCCAAAGCTCAGGGTACAGGCTTGATGGGTGCCCGTGCCCTACCGTGACCTCCGAGAAAACAGAACGACAAAGTGGTTTGCCTGAGCACCCACAGGAGGAGAGCAGTCCTTTTCTAAAGGCTGCGTGGGATCAGAGGGACCTGGGGACAAGAGGCCCCTCCCCTTCCCAGGTGGACCTCCCCCGCCCCCACTGCAACCTGGACCTAAAGCTGGGGTCCCTAGGACCCCCAGGGATTCCCAAAGACCCACAAGCGCCTCTGAGACCCTGGGCAAGGTTGGGTAATCCATTAAAGGCTGTGTTGTTTTTTTAGTGAAGTCTCTCAAGTTCTCCAAGGAGCGCCCCTAAATGGTGAGGAACACCCTATGGGTTGCATTTGGTTTTGACGGATCCTGGAATGGCCCAAACTGTCAGATGCGTCTGGAGCTTGAGCCCTCCATTCGCTGAAGGCCAGGGTCGGAGGGTGAGCAGAGCTCCCTTCCACGCCATCCCAGAAGACACTGTGGGAAGCTTGTGAGCCAGTGGGACAGGGGGCCCTCAGGAGGGCTTTTGAGGGACTGAAGAGGGCGGGCAGGCAGCCGGAAAAGGAAGATAAAGAAACCCAACAGACCCAAAGGCACTCCAGCGAGCCTTTTTACAGATGACAGGCTGGTTGCAGTAGCTGCCGAGGGACCCCCAGCACCCCAGCCGGGGCGAAGTCACCTCCTCAGCTGCCTCTTCGGTGAAGCCGCATTTTGGTGTCCACCCATCGGAGTGGGTGGCCAGATCTCATGTGGAAACTCTTAGCACATGGCCATGGATACACCTGCCACAGTGCTGCTCAGCACCAAGCTCGGTCCTTCACAGATGGACCCAGAGAAGGTGCCCCCGGACCCCTCGGTTCCCAAGGCAGAGCCCCCTGTGAGGCAAAATGCCCACCACACTGTTTCCAGAACCCACGGCCAGAGCAGCATATGGTGGAACCTCTTGGGATGTGTGGACAAGTCATGGGTTGTATGTCCCTGTGGAGGGTGGGGACGGACCCCGGGACCCCTCCTCCCATCCCAGCACCCTGGGGCCCTAACTCTGTAGGGTGGACAGGATTCACTCGCCCTTCCTCCCCATGCACTGCCCAGCACCGGTGCAGTGAGGTGCTGGCTGGCTGCCTGGTCCCTCAGGCATTCCCCCCATCACCACCATCAGGGACCTGCCAGCAGCCAGCAGGGTGCAATTAGCCTGCCCTGCCCTCCCCAGGCTGCCTCCACCAGCGCCCTCCACACTGCTCCATCTCCATCAGCGCTCACATCTATGGGCCACCCTCCAGGAGAGCGGGCAGTGCCCTGTGTGGGGTGCCCCAACCCCTGTCCAAGGTGAGCTGGGCTTGCTGACCCCTGCCTGCTGGATCCAGGGGCCAGCAGCGAGGGTCTCCTGGCTCCCATTCCCAAGTCAGTCTCGGGTCACTGCCTCCAGCCTGAGAACACCCCCCACCGTACCTATGGAGTTCGGAGACTCACCCCCCAAAGAGAACCCAGCACCCGCCCCAGCCGGGATGGGGGTCCGAGACTCGTCGTTCAACCTGGCAGTGCACAGACACACATGCCCTTCCCCGTGTCCCCAGCCCCAAACCGCGTCGCCCTCCCGGACGTGCCTCCCTTCCCGGCAGCCCTGCCCACCCTACCCCATACCTGCGGGGCTCGGCTCAGGCGGGCGGACGAG